TCTCGTGTGCGTGTGTGCGTGTGTGTGTGACAAAATCATCTGGCCAGGCTCTGATCTCATGTGCATGTGTGTGCGTGTGTGTGTGTGTGTGTGACAAAATCAGCTGGCCAGGCTCTGATCTCATGTGCGTGTGTGTGCGCGCGTGTGTGTGTGAGAGAGAGACAAAATCAGCTGGCCAGGCTCTGATCTCGTGTGCATGTGCGTGTGTGTGTGTGTGACAAAATCAGCTGGCCAGGCTCTGATCTCGTGTGTGTGTGTGTGTGTGCGCGTGTGTGTGTGTGACAAAATCAGCTGGCCAGGCTCTGATCTCATGTGCGTGTGTGCGTTTGTGACAAAATCAGCTGGCCAGGCTCTGATCTCATGTGCGTGTGTGTGTGAGAGAGAGACAAAATCAGCTGGCCAGGCTCTGATCTCGTGTGCGTGTGTGTGTGTGTGACAAAATCAGCTGGCCAGGCTCTGATCTCATGTGCGTGTGTGTGTGAGAGAGAGACAAAATCAGCTGGCCAGGCTCTGATCTCGTGTGCGTGTGTGTGTGTGTGACAAAATCAGCTGGCCAGTCTCTGATCTCGTGTGCGTGTGTGCGTGTGTGTATGTGTGTGACAAAATCAGCTGGCCAGGCTCTGATCTCGTGTGCATGTGTGCGTGTGTGTGTGTTTGTAACTCTTACCTTTGACAAAAGAGGGAAGGCAGGCCCAGGCACCTCTTCAAAAGACCCCCAGAGCGCCTGTGTATGTGTGTGTGTGTGTGTGTGTGTGTGTGTGTGTGTATAAAACTCTTGCCTTTGACAAAAGAGGGAAGGCAGGCCCAGGCACCCCTTCAAAAGACCCCCAGAGCCTGTCTGTCCCAGGGCCTGTCCCTTCCTTGCTTCCCAGGGCCCTACAATCCATTAGAGGTTCGGGATTCACTTGGTGACTACTGGCTTGTGAGGCCTTGAGGAGGAGGAGCAAACTTCACCCACCCAGCAGGGAGACATCCGTGCTGGCCGTCAGGAAACCCTTATGTCCGGGCCTCAGTTTCCCGGAAGTTACCTGTTTTCAGCGGTGGCCTCATCCCAGCCCATCAGCCCCGCTGCGGTGGGCGGTGGCCTCTTCCCGGGGCTGCCCTAAGACGGGGATGTCCCTGCGCCCACCGCAGCTACTACTCGGCAGCGCTTGGCCTTAATCGCTTCTTAGTGTTGCACCCATATTGTCTCCTACCATTCGACACCGGGGAGATGAGTGTGCTGTTTCCTGGAGGAGTAAACTGAGGATTGGAGCAGTTGAGGCTCACGCAGGGCGTCAGCGAACCAGTGATTTCGAACAGAGTTCTGAGGTGTTGGGCCAGGACCTCCCTGCTCTGACCCTTTTACGGAGGGGGCAGGAGCTGAGGGCCAGTGACCGCCGGTAACCCCGGCAGACGCTGGCGCCGAGCGGGTTAAAGGCGGACGCCCGCGAGTAACCCCAACCCCATTCAGCGCCGCGGGGCGAAACCCGAGCCCCACGCCGCCGCCGTGGGGAGGAGGGGCGGGGCCCGGGCCCAGGCACTAGCGAGGCGGCGGCGCGGCTGCTGATTGGCCGCGCGCGCTCACCCCATGCCCGGCCCGCAGCCCCGAGGGGCGGGACCTGCGGGCGGGGCGGGGCTGGGGGCGGGGCGGGGCGGGCGCGCCCTGGCGCTCAACGGCTTCAAAACTCCGCCGCGCCTTGACAGGTGAAGTCGGCGCGGGGAGGGGTAGGGCCAGCCGCCTGGACTCCCCAAGGGCGGGTGCAGATCGCGGAGCCATGGATTGCACGTTCGAAGGTATTTTTGGAGGCCCCCTCAGCCTTTTATACAATGCCTCCGTCTCCTGCAGGTTCTCCTGGAGTGGGCGGGCGTGGGGGCTGGGAGCAGGAAAGAGCCCCCTCCCGAGGGAAAAGGTGTGACAGCCGTTTCAGCTCGCTGGGGAAATGGGGGGCTACCGCCAAGCAAATCAGTGCCTCCTGCAACTCAAGGGGGAAGGGTTTGCTTTGAGAGCCGAGAGCAGCACCCCGACCTAAGGTGATCTGGAGGCAGAGGATGACCTTCTTACCTTCTCTGCACCTGCTTTGGGAGGGGCCAGGAGGTTGCAGGGAGGAGGGCCCGCTGTCCCTCTGTCTGCCACAGCGTCCAGTCTGTTCAGCACCCCTGCCTTTTGTGGGCATCTTAGACTCTTTAGGCAGACGGTGGGAGCCTTAGATTGTCAAATTTGTCAGTTTTTCCTTGGGGCCTCAGTTTCCCCCGTCTATCAAAGGGGTTCATGCAGACTGGGATAAAGGGGTGGGAGACCCTGCGGTCGAATATCTATAATGACTTGATGACTTGTGAGCTGGAGCGTTCACAAACCATGAGAGTTTCTCCTGGAGAAGCCAGGGAGGCTGGGCCCGCCACCCTATCCTATTCTGCCAGTTGCTCTAGGGAATTCCCATCCTGCATTGACCTGCCTGCCTGGGCACCTGTCAGTAGGCAATGTTGGGTCTCCAGTCTGTGCCCACTGCCTGCTAAGCAAAGCCTCAGGCAGCCCTACTAAAAAGGGTTTAATCTTTTCCGTTGTACAGATGAGGAAACTGAGGCCAGACAGCAGAGGCTATTGGTCCAGGCTCCACTTCAAGCTGGTGCTGGGCAGGGCTTGGAGCTCAGGCTGGGGATCCTGAGAGCACTGGAGGCCCCCATGGGTCCTATAGAGCACTCTGACCCAGTGCGTGCCACCACGAGTGGGTTAGAGGGCCCTGGGCTGAGCCAGTCAGGCTGCCAGTCGCCAGCTGGGGGAGAGGGCCCACAGCCAGGCGGGGCCGAGGTGGGAGTGTGTCCCAGTCTGTGTGAGGAGGAAAGAGTCAGGACAGACAGCACTTGCTTTTACAGAGGTGAAATCAAAGTCCTGAGTGGCCAGGCCTGGGTCTTGAGGCTACTTGGCTGCAGGCAAAGCCTGGACTTGAGCCCAGAACTCTACACAGAGACACACTGGTTGGTTATGTGGCCAGCAGCTGGCTGGGCCCTGCCTTGGTCTCTTCCACTGAGTAATGGGTTGGTGATGGCAGCCTGGCTCTTGGCTTCTAGGTAGGGCAAGAAAAGGCACAGAGACGATAGATTTGGCATTTTGCAGACCTGGATTTGAACCCCATTGCATGCCCTTGGGCTGCGCGTGGTTCTCTCTGAACCTCAGTGTCTTTTCTTGTCTCCGAGATGAGGTGAGCTAATTTTTGTTTTGTTTTTGAGATGAAGTCTTGCTCTGTCACCCACGCTGGAGTGCAGTGGCGCAATCTCGGCTCACTGCAATCTCTGCCTCTCGGGTTCAAGCGATTTTCCTGCCTCAGCCTCCCAAGTAGCTGGGACTACAGGTGCACGCCACCAGGCCCGGCTAATTTTTATATTTTTAGTAGACGGGGTTTCACCATATTGGTCAGAATGGTCTCGATCTCTTGATCTCATAATCTGCCCACCTCAGCCTCCCAAAGTGCTGGGATTACAGGCATGAGCCACCGCGCCCGTCTGAGCGAATCTTTTGAGGTAGTCTAGGGTAGTGGCCAGTGGTTGGGGCATTGGAGTCAAGTATGGTCTGGACTCCGTTGAGTCTGACTCTATGAACTTAGGCCAGTAAGTCACCTCTCTACAGCTCCGTTTCTTCATCTGTAGAATGGGGCCAATGATCACACCACGCTCTCAGAGCTGTGGGTGAGGATTAGGGTTCTAGCCTGGTCTCATCAATGTGGATAGCCCCACAGCAGGCCTGGCTTTTGGCCCAGACCCACCCTTCTGACATGCGCCCTCACCGTTAGAGTGCTTCCAGCATGGATGAGGACCCTGCTCTGATCTGGGGTTCTCCTGGGGGGACTTCCCTGTCTGCCATTCTCTTGGGGATCCTGTGCTGCCCTAGGAAGAGTGGGCCCAGGCTGCACAGCTGGTCCTTGGGCACAGACTTCTTCAGGGCCTCAAGCCCATCCTGCCTCTCTCTGCACCCCTCTTTTCTGTAAACTGAGGGGAGGGGAAAGTCACCCACTCCTCAGCAGTTCCTAAGCTGCTTTGTCAAATGCAGTGTCCTGCTGAGGGGGCCTTGTAGGAGTGGCCAGTGGGTGGGGCGTGGGGCCTATCGCTCCTGTATGGAGACCCTCTCTATCCTGTTTCCCACCTGCCCTAGACTGCTTCCTCCCTCCCCATCCCCATCTCCCACCCAAAGACTGGAGCTGCTGGATCTGTGGATGGAGGCGTGTCCCCATTTCACACATTGAGAAACTGAGGCCCCAAGTGGGGCCAGGGAAGGCTGTACGTGGGCCTCTGGATTCCTTTTGTCCTGGGTGGGGTGGGAGGTGATGGAGTGTGGAGAGGGCAGGAGAGCGTCTGCAAGGGTTGGTCACCTCATGAGCAAATGCTTGGAGGCTGGTCTGAATCCACAGTGCAGTGTGTGTGTGTGTGTGTGTGTGTGTGTGTGTGTGTGTGTGTATTCAGAGGTGGATGTCTTCTAGTAAAGACATCAAGATACAGGACATTCTCACCAGAAAGTTGCCTGGTTCTAGGCAGGGATTTTTCTCATTCACAGCCAGGAATACGGCCTGGCATGGTGTGGGCACCCAGCACATGCTCATTGAATGAGCGAATGAGTGAATGAATGTGGGCCTGCTGTTTGCTGTGGACTAAGGATGTTGCCAGATGTTTGGGCAAATACTGGGTGGCGGGAAGACCTCAGGCCCGAAGTCTGTAGTCTTGGGCCGACCCTGGGCTCAGCCCCAGCCTAGCCGTGGGGCAAGACTGGGAGCCTGTGGTGCCCGCCTTGTCCAGGTGTTGTGATGTGCTGGCAGCCGCAGGCAGTGCTCCGGACAGCACAGGTGTTTGCAAAATGGCTGTGTGTCTGGGAACACCAGCTCCCGCGACTGGCCTTCTGTTCTGGTGGCATTGCCCACACATACAGCTGTGTGCAGACAAAGGTTGTGTGAACAGGGTTGTATCTGGATGTGCGCGATGCCCTGTTGGGGAACTGGTCTCCGCCTCACTCACACATCGTCTTCTTTTCCCAGACATGCTTCAGCTTATCAACAACCAAGACAGTGACTTCCCTGGCCTGTTTGACCCACCTTATGCTGGGAGTGGGGCAGCGGGTACGGACCCTGCCAGCCCCGATACCAGCTCCCCAGCCAGCTTGTCACCACCTCCTGCTACACTGAGCTCCTCCCTCGAAGGCTTCCTGAGCGGGCCGGAGGCAGCACCCTCGCCCCTGTCCCCTCCCCAGCCTGCACCTGCTCCATTGAAGATGTACCCGCCCGTGCCCACTTTCTCCCCTGGGCCTGGTATCAAGGAAGAGTCAGTGCCACTGAGCATCCTGCAGCCCCCAACCCCACAGTCCCTGCCAGGGGCCCTCCTGCCGCAGAGCTTCCCAGCCCCGGCCCCTCCGCAGTTCAGCTCCACCCCTGTGTTGGGCTACCCCAGCCCTGCAGGCGGCTTCTCCACAGGTAAGGGGGATGTGTGGCAGAGGGGACACCCGAGGTGGGGCTCCCAGGAGCACAGGAAGAAGCTTCTGTGATGTTGGTAGAGGTCTGCGCAGGCTTTAGAAACGGGCTCCGCTCTGCTGCTTGAGGTGCCTTGTTACTAGCAGTCCTGGTGTGCTTGTTGCCAGGGTAGGCGCGACCTCAGCCTGGAGGCCTGGCTTGAAGCCAGCACGTTTGCGTCAGAGCCCAGGCAGGGACTGTCCATAGGAAGCCACCACATGGGGCTAATGACTCACCCCAGGCCAGCCGGTGATAGAGACCCGAGGAGCAGGTTGGAAGTGGGTGAGAGTGGTGTGTGCCTGCAGCCTCAGGCTTTATTTCTGCAGGGAGTCCCGCCCGGGAGCACCCAGCAGCCGCTGCCTGGCCTGCCACTGGCTTCCCCGCCAGGAATCCCGCCCGTCTCCTTGCACACCCAGGTCCAGAGTGCAGCCCCCCAGCAGCTACTGACAGTCACAGCTGCCCCCACGGCAGCCCCTGCAACGACCACTGTGACCTCGCAGATCCAGCAGGTTCCGGTGAGGGGGTCTGGCCTGGGGTTGGGAAGGGGACAGCTCCTGGCCGAGACACACAGCTTATGGCCGAACCCTCTCTCTGCTCAGGTCCTGCTGCAGCCCCACTTCATCAAGGCAGACTCACTGCTTCTGACAGCCATGAAGACAGATGGAGCCACTGTGAAGGCGGCGGGTCTCGGCCCCCTGGTCTCCGGTGCCACCGTGCAGACAGGGCCTTTGCCGGTGGGTGGTGTGGGCAGAGCGTGAGGGAGTGGGGTCTGCACACACACGTGCCCACCTGGTAACATGTGTCTGGCCCTGCAGACTCTGGTGAGTGGCGGAACCATCTTGGCAACAGTGCCGCTGGTCGTAGATGCGGACAAGCTGCCCATCAACCGGCTGGCAGCTGGCAGCAAGGCCCCGGGCTCAGCCCAGAGCCGTGGAGAGAAGCGCACAGCCCACAATGCCATTGAGAAGCGCTACCGCTCCTCCATCAACGACAAAATCATCGAGCTCAAGGACCTGGTGGTGGGCACTGAGGCAAAGGTGTGGAGAGGCCTGGGGGCACAGACTGGGGTACCCCTGGGATGGAATAAATCAGGGGCAACTGGAGGGAAGAGAGGGCATGAGGCTGAGCCTGGACAAGCAGGGAATTGAGCTGCAGCCTCATTTGTTTAGTTAAACTGGATTGCGGGCCTCTCCAATAAAGGTGGGGCTGCGCTGGCATTCAGGACGCACCAATGAACAAGTCAGACAAAAACCGTCCCTCCAAGAGGGGCCGGTGTTCGGGTGGGGGAGAGGGACAAGAGGCAGGATGAGTGCTGGAAGCCAACGCGTGGGGCTCATTGCAGAGAAGTCAGGAAGAGGGATGGTGAGGGCCCCTGGTGGTAGCCAGGGAAGGCCTCCCTGAGACGGTGCCAGGCACAGCAGCAGCTAGCCAGGCCCCGCTGTCTGCATCTTACATCCTAACCCTGTGCCTGGTCTGGGATGGGGGAGGGGAGGAACATTTCAGGTGGAAGGAATGCGTGCAAAGGTCCGGAGGCAGTAGTGTTGCAAAGCAGCTCCGCACCCCCTTGCTAGGGCCCCCCCCAATCCCTCAAGCCGATACCTGACGGCCACCTGTGTGCTCTCCCCTCCCTCCACACCGTGCAGCTGAATAAATCTGCTGTCTTGCGCAAGGCCATCGACTACATCCGCTTTCTGCAACACAGCAACCAGAAACTCAAGCAGGAGAACCTGAGTCTGCGCACTGCCGTCCACAAAAGCAGTGAGTCCTGGCTTCACTGAGCTCCAGTCTGGCCTCTAGCCCTGCTCCACGGCCCAGTCCTAGCCCCACCCTGCCCTTGACTCTGTCCCTGTCCTGGTTCTGGCCCAGCCTCTGCCCCGCCCACCTCAGCCTTGGCTCTAGCCCCGTCTTCAGCTCTAGTCCCGTGGTTACTTTCGGTCCTGAAAAGAGCCCTGCGCCTCCCTTTGGCCCTAACCCAGCCCTGTCAAAGCTTCCCGGGCCAGCTTCAGGAGCTACAGCAGCCTCTAGGCCCCCAACCCCAGGGCCCTAAGCTCCGATCTGGGGTCACATATTCAGCCTGTGCCCCGGCTCTGTTCCTTTCGGCCCACAGAATCTCTGAAGGATCTGGTGTCGGCCTGCGGCGGTGGAGAGAACACAGAGGTGCTCATGGAGGGTGTGAAGACGGAGGTGGAGGACACACTGACCCCACCCCCGTCAGATGCCGGCTCGCCCTTCCAGAGCAGCCCCTTGTCCCTTGGCAGCAGGGGCAGTGGCAGCGGTGGCAGTGGCAGTGACTCGGAGCCTGACAGCCCCGTCTTTGAAGACAGCCAGGTTGGGCCCTGCCACGGTGCCTCTTTCCCACGCCCAGCCCTATCTCTGAGCCTCAGGATAGGGCCAGACCCTAACAGATCCTACCCCCTATTTCATAGAATAACTGAGGCCTGGAGCCATGTGGGGTCTCACAGTAAGGTGGGCAGAATCCTGACCCCCTCCTCAGCCCCATGCTCTCTGGAGTCCGTCCAGTTCTGCCTTCACCACCCTGCCCACCCCCAGCAGGCAAAGCCGGAGCAGCGGCCGACTGCACACAGCGGGGGCATGCTGGACCGCTCCCGCCTCGCCCTGTGCACGCTCATCTTCCTCTGCCTGTCTTGCAACCCCTTGGCCTCCTTGCTGGGGGCCCGAGGGCTTCCCAGCCCCTCGGAGACCACCAGCATCTACCACAGCCCTGGGCGCAACATGCTGGGCACTGAGAACCGAGGTGGGACCGGCCAGCCAGGGTGTCTTGGGGACGGGTGTTCCTGGGGAGTTCCCACCAGGCTTGTTGGGGGGATGCTCACGGGGAGCCCCCGACCAGGCTTGTGGGCTGGGCCTCTGGATTTCCTGGGAGCTGTGTCCCCAGCTTTCCCTCTGCCCACAGAGGGCCCTGGCTGGGCCCAGTGGCTGCTGCCCCCCGTGGTCTGGCTGCTCAATGGGCTGCTGGTGCTGGTCTCCTTGGTGCTTCTCTTTGTCTACGGAGAGCCAGTCACGCGGCCCCACTCAGGCCCTGCCGTGCACTTCTGGAGGCATCGCAAGCAGGCCGACCTGGACCTGGCTCGGGTAAGGGGGTGGCCCCGGCAGAGTGGGCAGGGCCCCAGGCTGGGAAGGTGCTAGGTGTCAGCCTGTTCCCCGCTCCCTGTGCACACTGTGAAGATCCTGGCCTTCCCGGGCCTGGCTGTGCTTCTGCAGACCCCCCCCCTCCCCCGTCCCTCCAGAGCCTGCTGTGTACAGCTCTCCTGAGCTGTGGGGCAGCTGCTCTGACCTCGCTTTCTCACCTGGAAAACCCTCATCTGCAGGGGGACTTTGCCCAGGCTGCCCAACAGCTGTGGCTGGCCCTGCGGGCGCTGGGCCGACCCCTACCCACCTCCCACCTGGACCTGGCATGTAGCCTCCTCTGGAACCTCATCCGTCACCTGCTGCAGCGTCTCTGGGTGGGCCGCTGGCTGGCAGGCCGGGCGGGGGGCCTGCAGCGGGACTGCACTCTGCGGGTGGACGCTCGTGCCAGTGCCCGAGATGCCGCCCTAGTCTACCATAAGCTGCACCAGCTGCACACCATGGGTAAGGCCGAGCGCGGGGCAGGCCCTGTGGCGCTCCCTGCTGCCTGGGCTCCACCGCAGCCTCATGGCCTGCCTGCCTTCCAGGGAAGTACACAGGCGGGCACCTCACTGCCACCAACCTGGCGCTGAGTGCCCTGAACCTGGCAGAGTGTGCAGGGGATGCCGTGTCTGTGGCGACGCTGGCCGAGATCTATGTGGTAGCTGCATTGAGAGTGAAGACCAGTCTTCCGAGGGCCTTGCATTTTCTGACCGTGAGTGGAGGCGGGTGGGCTGGTGGGTGGGGCCTATCCCTGAAGCTCTCTCCAGAGGCCCCCTGGTAAGAGCGGCACCGGGTGTGGTGGTGGTTACCAGAGGGGCTCCTGGCCAAGCTGTGGCTCAGCCTGGGGTCTGGCCCCAGCCTGTGTCCACTGCGACAGCCCCTTTCCCTCCCCTACAGCGTTTCTTCCTGAGCAGTGCCCGCCAGGTCTGCCTGGCACAGAGTGGCTCAGTGCCCCTTGCCATGCAGTGGCTCTGCCACCCAGTGGGCCATCGTTTCTTCGTGGATGGGGACTGGGCCGTGCTCAGCACCCCACGGGAGAGCCTGTACAGCTTGGCCGGGAACCCAGGTGCTCTCTCACCCCCTCCCTGTCCCTTACCTCCTGAATCTCTGGCAGTCTCTGGCCACCCGAGTCCTAGTCCCCGCCGTGGGTTGTTGCTGTGGGGGCTGCAGGAAGGGGAAGGCCTAGATAAGTCTTGGTTCCTGCTGCGGCCTTCAGAAGCACACACGGGAATTTAGGGGCAGGTGGCTGATTTGGGAAGTGACCGCAGGCGGTGCCTCTGTGGAGTGAAGTGCGACAGGGAAGAGCGGAGCCAGTAGTGGCACCTTGTCAGTCGATTTTCCTTTGGGAGCAGCGCAGGGCAGGTCTCAGTGCTGTTCTGGCAAGGCTGGTGCTGGGGCATTTATATCCGTCCGTTTTCCCGTCCTGGGCAGGGGCTGCACCCAGGGCTGTGCTGGCACTTCCCATGGCCCTGGGTGTGGCCCCAGCCCACGCAGGAAAAAGCCCTTGGCTTGGAGAGGAGGGTGGAGCCCTGCTCCCCACCCCACTCAGCCCCTCCTCTCCACAGTGGACCCCCTGGCCCAGGTGACTCAGCTATTCCGGGAACATCTCTTGGAGCGAGCACTGAACTGTGTGGCCCAGCCCAACCCCAGTCCTGGGTCAGCTGATGGGGACAAGTAAGTGTTGTTGTGCCCTCCTCCAGGCAAGACCCCTCTAGCAGGAATCTGGGAACGGCTCTGTCCTCAGCCCTGCGGAGAGGGCCAGAGCCTGGACTGCCGTGCGTGCTGTGTGCCCTTCTTTCTCTGTGGGGTTCCTCTCCCTGCCAGCCTGTGGGAGGAGACAGTGGCACTTTGCAGAGCCAGGGGTCAGGCTGGACTCTGGTGGGCAGGTGGGGAGGGCCAGCACCCTCCTAGGACCCCTGCGGTCTGTCCGGACAGCCAGCCCTCTCCTGCCACAGGGAATTCTCGGATGCCCTCGGGTACCTGCAGCTGTTGAACAGCTGTTCTGATGCCGCTGGGGCTCCCACCTGCAGCTTCTCCATCAGTTCCAGCATGGCCACCACCACCGGTAAGCACCCGGCCCCTGCCCCGCTCCCTTCTCAGCCCCGGTGCAGTGTGGCTGAGGGCTCAGGGGACCCTCCGTCTTCTGCAGGCGTAGACCCGGTGGCCAAGTGGTGGGCCTCTCTGACAGCCGTGGTGATCCACTGGCTGCGGCGGGACGAGGAGGCAGCCGAGCAGCTGTGCCCGCTGGTGGAGCACCTGCCCCGGGTGCTGCAGGAGTCTGAGTGAGTGCAGGACAGAGTCCTCCTGCCTGGTCCCCGGCCCAGCCTTCTCGTCCCCAGGGCACTGTGCCTCCACCCTCGCCTTTGTTCTGTGCAGGTTTCCTCTCCCTGCCAGCCTGTGTCACCACCTTTTTTCCCAGGAAGCCAGAGCCAAGGCAGTGGGGGGCACTCAGCCAGGGCTAGTGGCCTGGTCTGACTGGCACCCTCTGCCCTGGTCCCAACAGGAGACCCCTGCCCAGGGCGGCTCTGCACTCATTCAAGGCTGCCCGGGCCCTTCTGGGCTGTGCCAAGGCAGAGTCTGGCCCAGCCAGCCTGACCATCTGTGAGAAGGCCAGTGGGTACCTTCAGGACAGCCTGGCTACCACACCAGCCGGCAGCTCCCTTGACAAGGTGAGGGGTGGGGCCAGGGGCCTGGCAGGGCTGGGAGACTCAGCCTTCCATTCCCTGGTCCTTCTCCCCAGCCCCCAGGGGCCCCAGAAGATCATGGGATTAGCCCTCGAAGTGCAAGATGGGGATCCAGCAGACCTTGTTTTCTGGCTAAGGCTTCTGTCCAGGGGAGAGGGGTTGCCCCTATCTGGCCTCAGTTTCCCCACCCCTGGGAGGAGGGGGGTGGATGATGTGGCAGGATCCCTTCGGAGGCCCTGCATCAAGAGGCCTGGACAGCTGCTCAGGGCCAGTGGCGGGTGTGGGGGCCGAGAGAGGCGGGCGGCCCCGCGGTGCATTGCTGTTGCATTGCACGTGTGTGAGGCGGGTGCAGTGCCTCGGCAGTGCAGCCCGGAGCCGGCCCCTGGCACCGTGGGCCCCCATCCTGCCCCTCCCAGAGCTGGAGCCCTGGTGACCCCTGCCCTGCCCGCCACCCCCAGGCCGTGCAGCTGTTCCTGTGTGACCTGCTCCTTGTGGTGCGTACCAGCTTGTGGCGCCAGCAGCAGCCCCCGGCCCCAGCCCCAGCAGGCCAGGGTGCCAGCAGCGGGCCCCAGGCTTCTGCGCTTGAGCTCCGTGGCTTCCAACGGGACCTGAGCAGCCTGAGGCGGCTGGCACAGAGCTTCCGGCCCGCCATGCGGAGGGTGAGTGCCCATTGGTGCCCTCTCCTCAAGATGGGGAGGAGTCAGGTAGTGGTGGAGAGGGAAGAGCCTGAGTCTCCACTCTGCTGGTGCCCCTTGCCCAGGTGTTCCTACATGAAGCCACGGCCCGGCTGATGGCGGGGGCCAGCCCTGCACGGACACACCAGCTTCTGGACCGCAGTCTGAGGCGGCGGGCAGGCCCCGGTGGCAAAGGAGGTGAGGAGCAGCTGCTGAACAGGGCTGTGCTGTCTGCCCAGCAGGGAAGGGCACACATGGGGTGTGATACCAAGGGAGACTGCGTGTGTGTCAGATGAGACGGGCCTGGAGTGGTGGCTTACGCCTGTAATGCCAGCATTTTAGGAGGCTGAGACGGGAGGACGGCTTGAGCCCAGGAGTTGGAGGCGACAGTGAGCCTGGGAGACAGGGAGAGACCCTGCCTCAAAAAAAAAGAGACCAAGCATCTTGGTGGTTACCTGACAGTTCCTTTCATGAGAAATCAGTGGGGCGGCTGTCATTTGTGGGATACAGGACTGCACATGCATGACTCAGTCTGTGGACTTTACGTGTGGGCCGAGACTAGGGTGGGGAGAAGGGGACCTGCCAGCCCCGTGTGCCAGGTACAGGGAAGGGGCAGAGCCTTAGCTTGTGTGTGGGCGGGGCTCCCCCGGGGGCGCGGCCAGCTCGAGCCCCACCCCTGACGCATCCCCGTTTGCGCAGGCGCGGCGGCGGAGCTGGAGCCACGGCCCACGCGGCGGGAGCACGCGGAGGCTCTGCTGCTGGCCTCCTGCTACCTGCCCCCCGGCTTCCTGTCGGCGCCCGGGCAGCGCATGGGCATGCTGGCTGAGGCGGCGCGAACGCTCGAGAAGCTCGGCGATCGCCGGCTGCTGCACGACTGTCAGCAGATGCTCATGCGCCTGGGTGGTGGGACCACTGTCACTTCCAGCTAGACTCCGCGATGTCCCCAGCCTCAGCGCCCTTACCTCCAGCCACCTGGGTTCCGTGTGGCTTCTGTCCTGCGTCGAAGCGCTGAAGGCCGAAGGCAGCGCCAGAGATCCTGGCCTCCACGGTTCAGCCGCGGCTGCAGTGTCCTTTCCGCGTGGAAGGCCTGAGGGGCGCGACTCCGACTGGAAGCGCGGCGGCCATGACAGTGCTGACCTCTGGTGGCCGATCTGGGCACTGCAGGGGCCGAGCCGTTGGCGGGGGAGGGGGCCCTTCTTGCTCTGCAGGCACCTTAGTGGCTTTCCCCCTCCTGTCTAGAGGGAAGAGAGGGGTACATTTCCGTCCGCTGCCCGAAGCCACCTTGGCTTTCCCGGACTGCGAGCGGGGCTCGGCCCCGAGCGCCTCTCTCCCCCGCGTGGAAGACGCGTACGTAGTGTAGCGTGCCTGACCTGAGGCTCCTGTGCTACTTTTGCCTTTTGCAAACTTTATTTTCATAGTTGGAGAAGTTTTGTACAGAGAATTAAAAATGAAATTATTTATAATCTGGGATTTGTTTCTTCAGCCGACGGATGTGCTGACCAGTGAGCGTGCTTGGGCCCGCCCCCCAGCACCTAGGCAGAGGCTTCCCATCCCCCGCCGGCCGCTTTCCCACGTTCGTGTGGGGAGGGCTGGCTGTACGGCCTCCAGCCGACCTGTGCCCCCGCTTCCAGGGCACGTGTTCGGGCTGCGCCAACCCCTAGGGCCTCGATGGGCTCAGCCGTGCCCCCGTCAGGTCCTCGGGTGGCGTGGGAGGATGGACTGTCCTCCAGAACCCGTGTACTGTACGACAGGGGCTCGGGTCTCCCTAGGTCTGGCATGTCTCACCTCCCGCTTCCTGTCCCCCTGGTCACTTCACAGCAGAGAAGCCTCCGACCTCCCTCCCGACCTGCGGCCACGCTGGAGACGGGCCACAGGAGCCACAGGGGCGGGGGAGGTTTCCCGTTCCGTGAAGGGCCTCAGCCCCTCCCTTCATTCCCATACCCCAGCTAAAGCCTGGCCCGGCTCCCAGCTGAATCTGGTCGGAATCCACGGGCTGCAGATTTTCCAAAACAATCGTTGTATCTTTATTGACTTTTTTTTTTTTTTCTGAATGCAATGACTGTTTTTTACTCTTAAGGAAAATAAACATCTTTTAGAAACAGCTCGATACACACAATCTTCAGTGTGAAGCAATATACTAATAAGAACACTAGTCGTCTTAACATTTACAGTCTTCATATATATTATATATATGTATATGTATACATATATATACACTATATAACGAGGCCAGATATAATACACACGTTTACCATTTTACAGTCATATGTACAGGAAGTTGCTAGGGCGGCCCTGGGCTGGGGGCTGCGTCAGGCCTATCGAAGCGTGGACAGAGCTGAGGACACGGACGGACAGGCGGACGGACTGGCAGGGACTGGCCCGGGCCGGTGGTGGCTGCGTGGGCAAGGGGCATCACGGTAGCCCCCTACCCGGCAAAGGCCCGGTTGGGGCTCTGTTGCGGGCGCACGACGCACGGCGGCGACACACGGGAGAAGCGAGCATGTTCCCAACATATATACATTCTATGTAACATATATATAGAGGGGTACACAGGTTTTGTACACGAATCTAGCGCTGTCCCTGCTCCCGTGCCGAGTGGGCGCGGCGGTCCCTGGTGGTGCACAAATGTCGCGCGTCCGCCGGAGGTGCGTTCTGGCCGCTTCTTGCGTTCTGCGCTCCCAGACCAGGCTCCAGGGGTGGGCGGAGGACTGGAAAGAGGACCAACAGAGAGGCCAAAGGGTGTCCCAGTCCCGCCCGTCTTCGCGGAGCCCACAACCCCTAACTGAGCAGAGCCCAGGGCTACCCCGGCTTTGCCCGAACCGCACGAAAGATGGGGCAAAGGCTGTGCGGGAAGGGCCCCGGACGCGTTCCGCACGGTTTGTTCCAAAGGCTCCGGCCCCTCCCGCGCCGGTCTAGCCCGCTCCCAGGAAGGCTTGCTTTCTCCCCAGCCTCGTCCACGGAGCTAGGAGCCGCCCTCCGCCTCTTCCAGGACTGTTTCGACCCCCACCCCCAAGCCCTGGGCTCCCAGCTGCACGCCACGACCGACAGGGGTGGCGGCAGCACCCACGTGGAATGTGTGCCACGTCGTCTTGAGATGCCGGAGGGGAAAACCGTCCCCAGGCCAAAGCCGTTTCCCACCCCCGCCAGAGGCTGAGCGTCCCGGGGAGTCTGGCCGCTCGGCGGGCTCCACCTCTGCAAGCCTGGCCCCTGGGGTGGGCAAGAAGGCCCTGTGACGTCCGGTTCCGGGAGCAGGCGGCTCCGGAACGGGTTTTCCTCCCAACCCGGGCCGCATGTCTGAGCCCTAAGCGGCCGGATCCACGATCCGGGACCCGGATCAAGGATCGGCTCTGGACCCGCGCTGGGAGCAGCTCAAAGGCCCGGGGGCTGCGCAGGCGGCTCCTCTCCGTCGGCGGCGGGCGGGCAGGCGGGCTCCGGCGGCTCCTCCGGCCGTTGGGGTGGATTACAACGGCAGCCTCTGCAAAAGACGCCCACCCGCCAGTTACCGACGACCGCGGACCCCACAGTCCACAGGCCCCGCCCCCCGGTCCCTGACCCGGGTGACGCGGGCGCGCGGCGGGGGTCTCCGCCCGAGACCGCTGGCCCGACCCCGTCCACCTTCGGCTTCGTGCCGCCGTCCCGGGGACGCCCCCCCCAGGCCCTGGCTGCCCCTGCCCCGACGCCTGCAGGTCTCCGGCGGCAGCGCGCAGGCGGACCGGGACCCGAGCTGGGCTGCGGCGGCGGCTCCGAGGGGTGGGCGGGGAGCGCTCCCTCCCTCTCGGGCTGGGCCCTGCGGGGCTGTGCGGCCCAGGGACGCGGGACTGTGAAGGAGGTGCGGGGTGGGGCTCCTCTCCCGCTTGACTCCCATCCCCCTACAATGCACTGTGGTCCCCTACCTTATGTTTGGGACATTTCAAAGAAAAGTTCTCTTCGATGAATATGCAACCTGTGACCAAAGAGAAGTTTCGGTGGTTAGGACAGGGTGGACGCTCACAGCCTGACGTTTTGTCCGCCGCCAGGAGCGGAGCCGCGGCAGGGGCTCCTCCAAAGAGTTAACTCAAATCCTGCTGAAGACCCTCCACCCTCCACTCCACGGTGCGGTGCGGGTACGGCCCTGGCCTGGCGGTCTGGACTCGCCTCACCTCCGCCGCCTCCCCACGGAGTTCCACGCACCGTCCCTCACGCCCTCCCCCAGCCTGACTGCCAGCCACACTGGTCACTGCCCCCTAAGAGGCCGGCCCGTGTGGTGATCTTGTCTTGGTCCTTGCTTCTTCCCCACCGGCAAGCTTCCAGAGAGCACCAGCTCTCATGGGCTTCCCTAGAGGTATGCCTGGGTCTGGCTCTGCAACACCCTGTGGACAGGCTGGTGGTGGTGTTGCAGGCCTGGATTTGCACGTCTGCTACTTCTCTGAACCTCAGTCTCCACATCTGTAAAATGGGCATTAAGCCACCTACTGTAGGCCTATCATGGAGATTGATGATGGGAGTGTATAAAAACCACCCTGGCCACGAGCAGTGGCTCATGCCTGTAATCACAGCACTATGGGAGGATGAGGTGGGTGAATCACTTGAGCCCAGGAGTTCAAGACCAGCCTGGGCAACATGGCAAAACCTCATCTCTACCAAAAATACAAAAATTAGCCAGCATGGTGGCGCATGCCTATAGTCCCAGCTACTCTGGAGGCTGGGGCAGGAGGATCGCTTGAGCCTGAGAGGCGGAGGTTGCAGTGAACTGTGATTGCAGCACTCCAGCCTAGGCAAAAGAGCCAGACCTTGTCTCAAAACAAAATAAAATGTAAAAATAAATAAATAAATACACTACCCTGTACATGTGTGGCACACAGTGGGTGCAGGAGGCAGGGGTAGAGAGGACAGCCAAGCATGGCCAGTGCTCATGCCCACCTAGGCCTGGGATGTGCTGCTATCTCAGGGAGTCCCTATTCCCCTGCCTGCTGCCACTTAGGGAGAAGGTGGCTTTTCCCCCAGGGACCCACCTCCCCCCCCCCAGTTCTTAGTCCCCTTCTGGGCTCCCGTCCCCCACCAGCCTTGCCAGCCACTGATTTAAACAAACCCCAGACCCAAAAGTAGCTGGAGGCTGGCGCTCTCTCCAACACAGTCTTCCTGTTCACATTGGAGGTGGCTCTGTGCAGTGGCATCATGGCAGCCAGTGGCCAGCAGGCAGGGTGGGGACAGCTCTGCGGCCCAAGGGCAGGGCTGGGCAGCGGCAGGCCTCTCTGAGGCGGTCTCCCCTTGTCTCCAGAAGCTGGGGGTGCCTCAGACCTGGAAACCGCCATTCAGGGCCAGCAGCTGGAGATGCGCCACCCGCTGGTTCCCTCCCCTTGGCTCCAGCAAGCCAGACGCAGTTCTGGGGCTGAACTAGATTTTCCAAAGACACTGGGCCAAAACCCAAGGCCTGCCCCCTGCACGCCTGAGTAGCTGCAGGCGCTCCTACCAAGGGAAGTTGAGGGTAGGAGGTCGCTGCTTCCAAACAGGCTCCCTCAGCACTGCCCAGCACTGCCCCGCAGGGGGCATGGGGTGGGAGACACTGGGTAAAGCCAGTCCTCAAAGTTCTGGCGCTGGCCCTGGCGCCTGCAGCGGGGGAACCTGGGCGCTCACTGCCAGGTTGGCCCCAGGGCCTGAGTGGGGAAAGGTTCAGACAGAATACTGGGGTGTAGCAGCCTCTGCCTGCTCTTCAGAGTTACTGCTTGTCTCCAAACTGGGGTTCCTTAACAAGGATTGGATGGGGGGAGGATGAGTGGGCCAGGACAGTGCAGTGTGGGGCAGAGGCTGGCAGCCAATGGGCAGCCCTGGTGCCCTGTAGTCCAAGCGCCTGGTGCAGAGGCCTGGGGCTCCTCCCTGGCCAGACGGATCAGGGGATCAGCGTGTCCGGCCTGCTCCCTCAGCCCTCACTCCCACCCACCCTGTCTCCTGCCTCCCAGGGGCCCATTTTCCGTTCTCCCTCGCCTTCTCTGGCAGCTGCTCCTCAGTTTCCCGGGGGGCCATTCCTCCTTCTTAGCTAGCTGTTCCATGGTGAGCACGACCCCCACTGTCTTGCCCCTTCCAGGGCTCTGATGAGCCCTCACCTGCTGATGGTGGGTGAGACTCGATCCTCAGCCCAGCTGCCTCCACTGCAGTGTGGCCAAAGGGAACCGCCGTGTGCGTAGAGGGCCTGGCAGAGCAGCCCCGTCCCCTCCTTGCACCCGGGTCCGTTACGGTCACCCCATGGAGGGGTGGGCCACACTCCTCTGTGCTGGACTTGGGACTTGCTTTCACTAACTAATGTGGTGAAGTCCAGGATCTAGGCTGTGACAGGCCCTGTGATCCCCGTGCTCTCGGGGCCCCGCTGCCACGCCGCCATGAGGACGCGCCCAGGCCAGCCTGCTGGAGGATGACACAGCCTGTGTGGAGCAAGGACAAGCCGGCCCGGCTGGGGCCACCCTGTCATCCTGCTCCCAGCAGAGCCTGCAGCCAACTCATGCCTTTTGAGAAAGAATGAAGGGCTGGTGCGGAAGCCACGAAGCTGGGCCTGGAATGCCAGTGGCGCTGCGACATGAGCTAAGACTCTATCTGCATGTGTGCACCCCGATTCTCCCCCTTCGTGCGGAAGCTGGGCGTGAGGCTCGACACCTCCCTCTCCCTCATCCCTTATATTGAGACCTGTGGATTCTGTGCCAGCTCAGTCTCTGAGCTGTATGTCTCCATCTGCACCAGGCAGCCCTTCCTGCTTAGACCACTGCAGTAGTCCCTTAGCTCAGATCACATCCGTGTCTTGTCTTCCCAGCCCCTTTCCTGCCTCAATCATCACAGCGCAACAGGAGTCCCTGTTATATGAGGAATGCTAGGATTTTATCTGAAACAAAAGTTCTCTTGCTCAAAGCCTAGTGTACAAGTCTCACCGCTAAACAGTTGCTGCCCACCTCCCCTGATCTTTTAAGGCCTGGCTTAAATGTCACCTCCTCCTGGAAGTCTTCCTAGATTTCTTCCTGGTTCAGACAGGATGAACCTCTCCCACAGTGACTACTGTCTCCTTCCTGTCTGGTTTCCCTAACTTTGGCCAAGAACCGTGGTTTTGCTGTCTGTCCTACTCATGGGTGAGCCCCTTGG